CCCTGTGACACAGCGTTCTCCCCCCTGCTGTCCTCCGAGACAGCATTCCTCCTCCCCCTCGCAGTCCCATGAGAGGCAGCATTCCCACACCCCCTCCGAGACAACTGTTCACCCCTCTCATAAGAGACAGCGTTCCTCTACTCCCACCTCCAGGACACCCCTCGTCCCCAATCTGCTCCCCAAGGCAGTCGTCTATCCCACCTCCACCTCCGAGACACCCCTCGTCCCCAATCCGCTCCCCAAGTGTTGAGTGAAGATGACAATATAGCATACGAATTAAAAACGAGAAAGTAAACAACACAAGATTTACGTGGTTCGGCAATATGCCTACGTCCACGGCGGCTGAGGGATCTTTATTATTCTTAATCGTCTCAAATACATAAATACACCATGTATTTATACAAAACCCTACAAGGTATAAATTTACTTAAATACCTTGTACTGTACCGCGGGGGCTCTGCCCCTCGCTCCACTCCGCTCACTTCGCTCGGTCACTCCGCTTCCCTCGTTACGTTCGCTCCGTTTTGCTCGCAGGCATCAGTCTGCCTCCTTTCTTTGTGAATATATGAGCCATATCAACAAATCTCCACCTTGGCGAATATATCACCTCCTTAGGAGAACACAATACCGAGCACCTCTGCGAGACACACCAAGCAGGCCGGGGGTACAACGCAACTCTACCATGCAGAAACATTCAACAAATCCAAGCAATGCTTGAATTTGTCAGAAGTAACAGTCTTAGTCAACATATCAGCAGCATTCTCTTCAGTATGAACTTTCTCCAACTAAATATCACCAGAAGCAATCCATTCCCTAATCTTGTGGAACCTCACATCAATATGCTTCGTCCTAGCTTGATATATCTAATTCTTAGCCAAATGAATGGCACTCTGACTGTCATAATGTACTATAACTCCACCTTGCTGAATACCCAACTCTCTAACCAATCCAGCAAGCCGCACTGCTTCCTTTGCCGCCTCAGCCAAAGCAATATACTCAGCTTCAGTTGTAGATAGAGCAACTATAGGCTGAGTATTCGACCTCCAACGAATAGGCCCTCCACCAAAAGTGAAGACATACCCAGTGGTAGATCTCCTATTATCCAAGTCCCCAGCATAATCAGAATCCACATATCCTACAACCAAAGGATCCAACCGCTGATCTCCAAACACAATACCATGTCCCGCAGTACCTTTCAAATATCTGAAAATCCATTTGACTGACTCCCAATGCTGTTTACCCGGCCTTGACATATACTTGCCAACTTGACCAACAGCATGAGCTAAATCAGGACGAGTACATACTATGGCATACATCAGACATCCAACAGCACTGGCATATGGTATCTCCACAATATCCTGAGTCTCCTTGTCCGACTTGGGGCACTGATCAACAGAAAGCTTGAAGTGGTTTGCTAATGGAGTGCTCACTGGGTTTGCTTCATTCATCCCAAACCTCTGTAGCACCTTCTCCACATAACCCTTCTGAGATAACCACAACTTCTTTGATCCTCTATCCCTGTGAATCTCCATCCCAAGAATCTTCTTCGCAGCCCCCAAATCCTTCATCTCAAATTCCTAACTTAAAAGGCTTTTCAGATCAACAATATCACGCATATTCTTGGCAGCAATAAGCATGTCATCAACATAAAGTAACAGAAAAATCATAGAACCATCACCATGGCTCTTAGTGTAGACACAACAATCGAACTCACAACGCTTGTAGCCAATCTTCAGCATATATGAATCAAACCGTATATTCCACTGTCGCGATGCTTGCTTCAAGCCATACAAGGATTTCTTCAACCTGCAAAATAAATGCTTCTTCCCTGGTTGAACGAAGCCCTCTGGCTGCTGCATGTAAATAGGCTCTGCGAGATCACCATGCAAGAAAGCAGTCTTCACATCCATCTGCTCCAAATGAAAATCCAAACTGGCCACCAATGCAAGTACAGCCCTGATCGAAGTATTTCTAACCACACGAGAAAATGTCTCATCATAGTCAATCCCCTTTTGCTGTGAGTATCCTTTAGCCACCAATCGAGCCTTGAACCTTTCCCCTCCTTTTTCTGTTACTGATGACTTCCTTGTGTAAATCCACCTACAACCAATAGCTTTCTTCCCTTCGGGAAGAACATCCAACTCCCATGTCTGATTCTTGTGTACAGAATTCATCTCTTCTTCCATGGAAGCCTTCCATCTATAATTATTCTCACAAGAAACAGCCTCCTGGAAAGTACAAGGATCCACACTAGTGATCGTAAGAGCAAACGCCACCATATCCTCATAACCAAACCTGACCGGAGCTTGTATATTGGTACGCCTCACTCTATCCCGAGCTAACTTGTAGCTCTCTGGCACATCACTTGGGCCAGAAACATCATGATCAACATCATCAGGTGCAGAACTCGAACTCTCTCCCTTATCAAGAACTGCTGGAACATGTTCCAACTCCACCTGTACCTTATCTGCATCTGATCCCAACATAGACTGTTCATCAAACACTGCATCTCTACTAATCACCGTCTTCTTCTCAACTGGATCCCAAAACTTATATCCCTTGACACCTTTCTTATAGCCCAGAAAAGTGCACTTCTTTGATTTAGCATCAAGTTTTGACCTCTCATCATCAGGAATATGAACATAAGCAGGACAACCAAAATTTTTCAGATGATCGAAACTAACATCATTACCTGTCCATACTTCTTCTGCAACTTTTCCATCCAGAGATGCTCGTGGTGATCGGTTAATCAAATAACAAGCCATACTTACAGCCTCAGCCCAGAAGCTCTTTGGCAAACCTGTATTCAGTCTTAAACACCTCGCCCTCTCAGCCAGTGTCTGATTCATCCTCTCAGAAACACCATTCTGTTGTGGCATTTTACGCACTGTGAAATGCCTTTGAATGCCATGCTCCTCACAAAACTTCTGGAACTGTGAATGGGGGTACTCTGTACCATTATCAGACCTTAAATACTTGATCTTCCTACCAGTCTGGTTCTCCACCTCAGCCTTCCATAGCTTGAATTTAGCAAAAACTTCAGATTTATGCTTCATGAAATACACCCAAACTTTCTTCGAAAAATCATCAATAAAGGTCACATAGTACACAGAACCACCAATCGATGTCACTCTAGTAAGACCCCACACATCTGAATGTACATAATCTAGAATTCCTTTTGTCTTCTTCTTCCCAGTCTTGAAACTGACTTTTGTCTGCTTTCCCAGAACACAAAACTTGCAGAAATTGAGTTTGCAAGTTGTAACACCATGCAGAAGCCCCCTCTTATGCAGTTCAGTCATGCCATGTTCACTAAGATGTCCAAGACGCATGTGCCACAATTTCGTGTTATCTTCACACGACTCCACCGAATGGACTCCACCTACAACTTTACTTCCCAACAGTTTGTAAATATTCCCTGCAGTGATCCTCCCCTTCATCACAGTCAAGGTACCCTTCACAATCTTAATGGTTTGCCTATCCTCATCAGCCTTGGGAATGAAACCATTTCTATGCAAAGTACCCAAAGAAATCAAATTCTTCTTCAATTCAGGGATATGTCTCAAATCACATAATGTCCTAACAGTTCCATCATACATCCTGATTTTGACATCTCCAATGCCGACAATACCGCAGCATCTATCATCACCAAGAAAAACAGAACCCGAGTTGCCTGGTTTATAAGTTTCAAACCACTCTCTGTTAGGCGTTATATGATATGAACATCCAGAATCGAGAATCCAAGCATCATCATACTGCGTAGTCGAAATAGACAACATATCTCCATCACTGCAATCAGATTCCTCATTATGTACCACATTTGCAGCTTGGATGACATATCAGCAGTCTCTTTCTGCCACTTTGGGCAATCCCGTTTAAAATGCCATTGTTCCTTGCACTTATAACACGTCATAGTTGTCCTCCCTTTCGATTTGTCCCGCGACTTGGATCTGAAATTCCGATTTCCTGAATTATCCCGCACCTGTCTTCTTCCACGATCCTGGTTACCCTTCACATATAAGCTGTCACTTTGAGAAGATGACTCTCCAGATTTCTGTTTCCGCTGGTTGTGAGCCAACAACGCGGAAGTAATCTCCTCAGTCTTGATCATTTCTTTCCCATATGTAAGGGTAGTCACCATATGTTCGTAAGAAGAAGGTAACGAACACAGTAAAATCATCGCCTTGTCTTCATCTTCCATCTTGACTTTGAGTGAAGCCAAATCCGTGACAACCTGATTGAAGATATTCACATGTTGCCCTAAATCGTTCCCCTCCTGCATCTTCAGCCCGTATAACCTCTGCTTTAGATACAATTTTGTCGTTAGGGTTTTTGACATGAACTGCGATTCCAGTTTCTTCCAGATATCATCCGCCGATTTGAGATGCATAACGTGATACATAACTTCATCTGCAAGGCACAACCGAATCGTCCCGGCCGCCCGTTCCTGCAGATCTTGCCAACATCGTCTTCCATCCCTTTAGGCTTCTCTGCACGCAGCCCTTTTTGAATTCCTTGTTGCGCCAATAAATCTTTTACTCTCGTCTGCCATAATCCGAAATTGCCATGACCATCAAATTTCGAGACCTCGAATTTTGATCCTCCCGTCATCTCTGTCGCCCAATCAACCAGGCTCTGGTACGACTTGTTGAGTGAAGATGACAATATAACACACGAATTAAAAACGAGAAAGTAAACAACACAAGATTTACGTGGTTCGGCAATATGCCTACGTCCACGGCGGCTGAGGGATCTTTATTATTCTTAATCGTCACAAATACATCAATACACCATGTATTTATACTAAAACCCTACAAGGTATAAATTTACTTAAATACCCTATACCGTACCGCGGGGGCTCTGCCCCTCGCTCCACTCCGCTCACTTCGCTCGGTCGCTTCGCTTCCCTCGGTACGTTCGCTCCGTTTCGCTCGCAGGCATCAGCCTGCCTCCTTTCTTTGTCAATATATGAGCCATATCAACAAATCTCCACCTTGGCGAATATATCACCTCCTTAGGAGAACACAATACCGAGCACCTCTGCGAGACACACCAAGCAGGCCGGGGGTACAACGCAACTCTACCATGCAGAAACATTCAACAAATCCAAGCAATGCTTGAATTTGTCAGAAGTAACAGTCTTAGTCAACATATCAGCAGCATTCTCTTCAGTATGAAATTTCTCCAACTTAATATCACTAGAAGAAATCCATTCCCTAATCTTGTGGAACCTCACATCAATATGCTTCGTCCTAGCATGATATATCTGATTCTTAGCCAAATGAATGGCACTCTGACTGTCATAATGTACTAAAACTCCACCTTGTTGAATACCCAACTCTCTAACCAATCCAGCAAGCCACACTGCTCCCTTTGCCGCCTCAGCCAAAGCAATATACTCAGCTTCAGTTGTAGATAGAGAAACTATAGGCTGAGTATTCGACCTCCAACAAATAGGCCCTCTACCAAAAGTGAATACATACCCAGTGGTAGATCTCCTATTATCCAAGTCCCCAGCATAATCAGAATCCACATATCCTACAACCAAAAAATCCAACCGCTGATCTCTAAACACAATACCATGTCCCGCAGTACCTTTCAAATATCTGAAAATCCATTTGACTGCCTCCCAATGTTGTTTACCCGGCCTTGACATATACTTGCAAACTTGACCAACAGCATGAGCTAAATCAGGACGAGTACATTCCATGGCATACATCAGACATCCAACAGCACTGGCATAAGGTATCTCTACCATATCCAGAGTCTCCTTGTCCGACTTGGGGCACTGATCAACAGAAAGCTTGAAGTGGTTTGCTAATGGAGTGCTCACCGGTTTTGCTTCATTCATCGCAAACCTCTGTAGCACCTTCTCCACATAACCCTTCAGAGATAACCACAACTTCTGTGATCCTCTATCCCTGTGAATCTCCATCCCAAGAATCTTTTTCGCAGCCCCCAAATCCTTCATCTCAAATTCCTGACTCAAAAGGCTTTTCAGATCAACAATATCACGCATATTCTTGGCAGCAATAAGCATGTCATCAACATAAAGTAACAGAAAAATCATAGAACCATCACCAAGGCTCTTAGTGTAAACACAACAATCGAACTCACAACGCTTGTAGCCAATCTTCAACATATATGAATCAAACCGTATATTCCACTGCCGCGATGCTTGCTTCAAGCCATACAAGGATTTCTTCAACCTGCAAAATAAATGCTTCTTCCCTGGTTGAACGAAGCCCTCTGGCTGCTGCATGTAAATAGGCTCTGCGAGATCACCATGCAAGAAAGCAGTCTTCACATCCATCTGCTCCAAATGAAAATCCCAACTAGCCACCAATGCAAGTACAGCCCTGATCGAAGTATGTCTAACCACAGGAGAAAATGTCTCATCATAGTCAATCCCCTTTTGCTGTGAGTATCCTTTAGCCACCAATCGAGCCTTGAACCTTTCCCCTCCTTTTTCTGTTACTGATGACTTCCTTGTGTAAATCCACCTACAACCAATAGCTTTCTTCCCTTCGGGAAGAACATCCAACTCCCATGTCTGATTCTTGTGTACAGAATTCATCTCTTCTTCCATGGCAGCCTTCCATCTATCATTATTCTCACAAGAAACAGCCTCCTGAAAAGTACAAGGATCCACACTAGTGATCGTAAGAGCAAACGCCACCATATCCTCATAACCAAACCTGACCGGAGCTTGTATATTGGTACGCCTCACTCTATCCCGAGCTAACTTGTAGCTCTCTGGCACATCAGTTGGGCCAGAAACATCATGATCAACATCATCAGGTGCAGAACTCGAACTCTCTCCCTTATCAAGAACTGCTGGAACATGTTCCAACTCCACCTGTACCTTATCTGCATCTGATCCCAACATAGACTGTTCATCAAACACTGCATCTCTACTAATCACCGTCTTCTTCTTAACTGGATCCCAAGACTTATATCCCTTCACACCTTTCTTATAGCCCAGAAAAGTGCACTTCTTTGATTTAGCATCAAGTTTTGACCTCTCATCATCAGGAATATGAACATAAGCAGGACAACCAAAAATCTTCTGATGATCGAAACTAACATCATTACCTGTCCATACTTCTTCTGCAACTTTGCCATCCAGAGATGCACGTGGTGATCGGTTAATCAAATAACAAGCCATACTTACAGCCTCAGCCCAGAAACTCTTTGGCAAACCTGTATTCAGGCTTAAACACCTCGCCCTCTCAGCCAGTGTCCGATTCATCCTCTCAGAAACACCATTCTGTTGTGGCATTTTAAGCACTGTGAAATGCCTTTGAATGCCATGCTCCTCACAGAACTTCTGGAACTGTGAATCAGTGTACTCTGTACCATTATCAGACCTTAAATACTTGATCTTCCTACCAGTCTGGTTCTCCACCTCAGCCTTCCATAGCTTGAATTTAGCAAAAACTTCAAATTTATATTTCATGAAATACACCCAAACTTTCTTCGAAAAATCATCAATAAAGGTCACATAATACACAGAACCACCAATCGATGTCACTCTAGTAGGACCCCACACATCTGAATGTACATAATCCAGAATTCCTTTTGTCTTCTTCTTCCCAGTCTTGAAACTGACTTTTGTCTGCTTTCCCAGAACACAAAACTTGCAGAAATTGAGTTTGCAAGTTTTAACACCATGCAGAAGCCCCCTCTTATGCAGTTCAGTCATGCCATGTTCACTAAGATGTCCAAGACGCATGTGCCACAATTTCGTGCTATCTTCACACGACTCCACCGAATGGACTCCACCTACAACTGTACTTTCCAACAGTTTGTAAATATTCCCTGCAGTGATCCTCCCCTTCATCACAGTCAAGGCACCCTTCACAATCTTAATGGTTTCCCTATCCTCATCAGCCTTGGGAATGAAACCATTTCTATGCAAAGTACCCAAAGAAATCAAATTCTTCTTCAATTCAGGGATATGTCTCACATCACATAATGTCCTAACAGTTCCATCATACATCCTGATTTTGACATCTCCAATGCCGACCGCAGCATCTATCATCACCAAGAAAAACAGAACCCGAGTTGCCTGGTTTATAAGTAGCAAACCACTCTCTGTTAGGCGTTATATGATATGAACATCCAGAATCGAGAATCCAAGCATCTTCATACTGCGCAGTCGAAATAGACAACATATCTCCATCACTGCAATCAGATTCCTCATTCTGTACCACATTCGCAGACTTGGATGACATATCAGCAGTCTGTTTCTTCCACTTTGGGCAATCCCATTTAAAATGCCCTTGTTCCTTGCACTTATAACACGTCACAGTTTTCCTCCCTTTCGATTTGTCCCGCGACTTGGATCTGAAATTCCAATTTCCTGAATTATCCCGCACATGTCTTCTTCCACGATCCTGGTTACCCTTCACATATAAGCTGTCACTTTAAGAAGATGACTCTCCAGATTTCTGTTTCTGCTGGTTGTGAGCCAACAACGCTGAAGTAATCTCCTCAGTCTTGATCGTTTCTTTCCCATATGTAAGGGTAGTCACCATATGTTCGTAAGAAGGAGGTAACGAACACAGTAAAATCATCATCTTGTCTTCATCTTCAATCTTGACTTCGAGTGAAGCCAAATCCGTGACGACCTGATTGAAGATATTCACATGTTGCCCTAAATCGGTCCCCTCCTGCATCTTCAGCCCGTATAACCTCTGCTTTAGATACATTTTTGTCGTTCGGGTTTTCGACATGAACTGTTGTAATATCCCGATATGTTATCGGTATAAATTACGTTTAATTCTGATATAATAATGTTTATCGTTTATTATTTTCGGAATTAATTAAGTCCAGTCGAGAT